AAAAAAAAAAAAAAAAAAAAGAAAGTAGAAACTAGTGGGAGCATGGATAGGTTCTTGTCCCACCAAGTGAAGGCCATCAAAATAGGCACGGTGGCTCACGCCTGTCATCCTAGCACTCTCAGAGGCTGAGGTGGGTGGATTGCCTGAGCTCACCAGTTTGAGACCATCCTGAGCAAGAGCGAGACCTCGTCTCTAAAAATAGCTGGTCGTTGTAGCAGGCACCTGTAGTCCCAGCTACTCAGGAGGCTGAGGCAAGAGAATCACTTGAGCCCAAGAGTTTGAGGTTGCTGTGAGCTATGATGCTATGGCACTCTACCAAGGGCAATAAAGTGACACTCTGTCTCAAAAAAAAAAAAAGCAGACAAGAGGTGCAAAGTCTGAGTCAGGCAGGAATAGCAGGGTTAAGAGAAAGGATCAGACCCTAAGATGTGACATACAGCAATAAATCCAAGGACTCCAAACCCACCACCCCAGCTCCAGTCCCCATCCCAAAAGAATCCAGATAACAGTTGCCCACAAATCAAGCGTGCAGATACTATTCCTTACAAATGGCTTTATTTCCCCAGTGTGGGGAAGTTGTGAATGGGATTTATGGTCCCTGAATCCCCAAGGGCCCTCCACACTCCTCCTGCTGTGGCAGGGCCCTCAGAGAAGCAATATCCAGGCTCCAGAACAGGACCTTCCCAGAGAGGATGTGGTTCTGAAAGGAGCTGAGCACGTTGTGATTCATATGGATGATACCCCCAAGGTAGCCCTGATTTGGCCCAGGTGCTAATCTGTAGATATGGGGTCCAATCCAAAGACAAGGCTGCCAGGTGCAGGGATCAAGGACCACCTGGGCCTTACTCTAGTCTTACTTACAGCTTCTTTCTAGGAGAGAAAAAAACCCTGTAGGCTCCTTGAAGTCTACCACAGGGCTCAGTCTGTAGGAAAGAGAGAAGAGAAAGCAGGTAATTGGGGGAGACAGGGAGAAAGAAAAAAAGGATGACTGGAAAAAAGAAAAAACATGAGAAGAAAATACAAAAAGCCCAAAGAAGACCGAGAGAGTGACCCAGGGACAACAGAAGGGCAGCAAGAGAGAAAAACACAAAAGCACAGGACCAGAGATTGGAGATACACAGGTAGGCCCTACAAACTTACCTTTGGGCCCAGGTGGGGATGGAGGTGGCAGCCCACCAGGGGGAAGCAACGCAGAGCGGCTCAGGGCCTCAGCCACCCAGTCCAGGACGCGGCTACAGTGCCGGACCTGGGGAATGAGGAGGGGATGTCAGAGTATGAGACAGGAACCCTACTGTCCTCAGAACTGCCAGAGTACCCCAGGCAGGCCGCGAGTCCTCACCTCCCGCTCCAGCCTTTTCAGACGCTGTTCGTACTCGCGGATGTGGCCCAGCTGCTTCAATACGGTGTCCACCCTGGAAAGCAAGAGCTTAAGACACAAGGCCACCGTCCGCCCCGCCCCTCGGATGCCCTGCCCCCTCCATACGTCCTAGGATTCCCCCCCCATCCTCTCCCCTCCTTTCAGCAGGCATGGAACCCCCGCCCTGCTCAAGTCCCTCCCTCACTTCTGAGAGGTGCGCTTCAGACGCTCCGAGTCGCTCTCCCGCTTGTCCCGAGTGCGCACCAGGAGGAAATTCTCCTTCTGCACTGACTCCCACGTCAACAGCTCCCGCTCCTCTTGCTTTGAGAGGTGGACCCCTGGAAGGCGGAGTCCAGGTGGAGTCAAAGGGTCCGCCGAGCCTCCCGCACGCCTCTCCCAGGCCCAGCCCTTCCACCTCAAACCCTCAGAGCTGCTCTCCCCTGCCTCGGTGTCCTTACAGCGCCTTCTGCCCCCACCGTCCCAGCCGCCCACCCGTCATTTAGACTCTGGGATCATTTCCCCTCCTTTCTCTCTGCCCCCATTCCACGTTCATCTTTCTCTCCAAATCCCGCCCCCTGCACTTATGCCTTTTAAACCAAGCTTTGTTCTCACGGAAATGATGCCGGGAGAATGACAAATTGGTATGGGAGGTCCTGCTTTGCCATCTACGGAGGAGGAGGCGCACGTGGGAGATGATGATAAGGGGCGGGGCCAGTGCTGGCCTAGAGTGGAATTCCCGGATGAGGCTGTAGCGCTGCGCCTTCCAGTAGAGGTCGCTGTTGCCCTGTACTTTGCCGAACGTGTGGCTGTGGAAGCCAGAGGTCAAAGTCACCAGAAGTCACGGCCCAATCAGGAGCAGGGGATCAAGGTTAGAAGTCAGGCAATATCTGTTCGAAGTCCCAGGCAGCAGGCAGATGTCAAGATCAATAAAGTCAGAGGTTATTTCAAGATAAGATTATAAATCAGGGGAGCGGCGCCTGTGGCTGCAGTGGGTAGGGTGACAGCCCCAAATACTGAGAGGTGGCAGGGTCGAACCCCCCCCAGCCCCCGGCCAAACCGCAACAACAAAAAAAATAGCCAGGCCGGGCGTTGTGGTGGGCGCCTGTAGTCCCAGCTACTTGGGAGGCTGAGGCAAGAGAATAGCCTAAGCCCAAGAGTAGGAGGTTGCTGTGAACTGTGACGCCACAGCTCTCTACTCTACCAAGGGTAACAGAGTGAAACTCTGTCTCAAAAAAAAAAAAAAAGGATTATAAATTAGAAGGTCCAAAGGTCAGATGTCAGAGGTCAAGTTGGGGATGGTAGCATGTATTAGGGCAGATGTTGGAGTCAGAATTAAAATTGGGCTCAAAAGTCAGCATGGACGCAAATAATTACAATCAGAAATGAAGTTGGAGACATTACTACTTAACAGAAATAGAAAGGATTATAAAAGAATACTATCAACAGTTGTATTTCAGTTAGATAACTTAGTTGAAATGGACAAATTACTAGATACACACAAATTGCCTAAGCTGACTAGAGAAGAAAGAGAAAATCTCAATTGACTTATGATAAGAATTTGAATCACTTATAAAAAACTTTCCCTGACCAGCCTGAGCTAGAGCAAGACCTCAGCTATTTAGCTGAGTGTTGTGGCAGGTACCTGTAGTCTCAGCTACTTGGAAGGCTGAGGCAAGAGAATTGCTTGAACCCAGGATATGTGTGTGTATATATATATATATATCTTGCCACAATAAAAAAGTTCAGCCTGGAGCGGCGCCTGTGGCTCAAAGGAGTAGGGCACCAGCCCCATATACCGGAGGTGGTGGGTTCAAACCCAGCCCTAGCCACAAAAAAAAAAAAAAGGAAAAGTTCAGCCTGGGCTCAGGGAGAGGATCAGAGTCCAAAGTCCAGGTCAGGAGCTGGGCATGGGAACAAGCCAGCATTAGATTTAAGTCAGATTTTAGGAACAAAAGACAGAATTGATTAGACTGAGTTCAAGAGTCATGATGGGGTCAAAGGTCATGCTGGGTGAGGGTGAATCAGAAAACAGCAGGCCTCACCTGAACATGGCGATGAGCAAATTGACCAGCACGATGTTGGCCACAAGCAGGAAGATGACAAGGAGCAGCACCACCAGCCAGTTGGCATAAAGGGAGACACAGGAGCCTGCCTTGGGTCCTGGCGGGTGCCCCCAAAGGCCCTGCTCCGACGAGCAATTGGTATGCTCCATGAGAGCCACTGTGAAGGGAGACACTCAGATATAGAGCAGGATTGACAGAGACCTAAGGAAGTCAGAAAGTCAGAGAAGGTGAGGTGGCCAGAGACCCTGGGGTGGGGAGGAAAATACGGAGACCCAGGGGAGTAGGGACGGAAATACAGGAGAGGAATACAGGGTCGCACAGAAATGATGGGGGAGGGTGTAGGGAGTCTCTCAGAGACCCATAGAAAAAGGGAGACAGAGACTCAGGGAGAGACATTTTCCTAGCGGGATACACAGACTCTGGGAGAGGGGACAGAGGTTCAGAGGGAGGGTGTCAGGCCCTTTTATCCTTCCCTACCGTCCATGTCCTCTTGAGGTATCTGCCCGAAGATCTGCAGATAAGGCCGGTAGAAGACGCGGCGCAGGATACTTGGGATATCATGGTCCTTGGGCCTTAGGAGCCCCTCAGTGGCCACCCCATAGGCAACGAGCCACACGCCAAGGAAGAACAGGAAAAAGAACACATCCTTCATCTGTCGGAAGAAGGAGGTGTGGCGGAGTCTGTCCCCGCCCGTCCCTACCTTGGTCCCGCCCCTATTTCCTAAGACCACGCCCCCAAGCCATGCCCTTCTCCCCAGCCCTCTCCCTCCCCGCTCCCACCCCTTACTTCTCTACCCCGCCCAGCATGGCCCCGCCTCTCTCTAGGCCGCTCCTCTCACCATCTTGTTCACGATGACAATCTTGGGCCCCAGCTGCTTGTTGACCGTGAAGATGTGCAGCAGCCGCAGCGTGAAAATCATGAAGTCAAGGCAGAGGACAGTGCGGCCCAGGTCATACAGGCCGGGGGTCAGCCTGGGGTGTGGGGAGATGTGGCAGGGATCACGCAAGGGCTACAGGTTGCCAAGGAAAATGGTAGTTTTCCCAAACCATGCTTCAGATGAAGCAGTGGCTTTCGAAGGGCAGGATCAGACCCTCTGATTCACCTGGGGTTTTCTCAGATTTAATCAGCTGGTCCCCGCTGGGTACTGGTATCCATTAAAAAATGGCTACACCCTTTAAACAATGACTGAATGAACAATGGCTTTAGCAAGAAGTTGGTCCCTGTAAGAATCAGGTTGGAAAAATTGCGGGAGTCGGACTGCTGGTACAACCCATAAAAGTAGAGAGGTTGGGTGGCGCCTGTAGCTCAGTGGGTAGGGTGCCAGCCCCATATACAGAGGGTGGTGGGTTCAAACCCGGCCCCTGCCAAACTGCAACAAAAAAATAGCCGGGCGTTGTGGCAGGCACCTGTAGTCCCAGCTACTTGGGAGGCTAAGGCAAGAGAATCACCTAAGCCCAGGAGTTGGAGGTTGCTGTGAGCTGTGTGACGCCAGGGCACTCTACCGAGGGCGATAAGTGAAACTCTGTCTCTACCAAAAATAATTAATTAATTAATTAATTAAAATAAATTAAAACAAAAAGTAGAGAGGTTTTTTAAATACTTTTTTTTGTAAAAGTAACCCAACAGGAAACCAGATAAACACCGTATAATCCATAGTAGTTCAAATGGGCAATAATACACATCAACAATTTATAAAGAAAATAAAAATTATATCCTTATTTTGCATCATCACGTAAACTTTAGATGGATTAAAAACCTAGTGTAAAAGGCAAAGCATTAAAAAGTTAGGAGAAAATATAGACAAACTTCTTTATGAGCTTAGGATAGGACAGGATGTCATATAAAATTGCAAGACATTCCAGCCTGAGCCAGAGCGGGACCTCATCTCTAAAAATAGCTGGGCGCTGGCTCTGTGCCTATAGCTCAAGTGGCTAAGGTGCCAGCCACATACACCAGAGCTGGCGGGTTCGGATCCACCCCAGGCCTTCCAAACAACAATGACAACTGCAACCAAAAAAAGCCAGGCGTTGTGGCTGGAGCCTGTAGTCCCAGCTACTTGGGAGGCTGAGGCAAGAGAATTGCCTAAGCCCAGGAGCTGGAGGTTGCTGTGAGCTGTGATGGCATGGCACTCTACCCAGGGTGACAGCTTGTGGCTCTGTCTCAAAAAAAAAAAAATAGCCAGGTGTTGTGGCAGATGCCTGTAGTCTCAGCTACTTGGGAGGCTAGGGCAAAAGAATCGCTTGAGCCCAAGAGTTCGAGGTTGATGTGAGCTGTGACACCATGGCATGAGGGTGACAGAGTGAGACTCTGTCTCGGAAAAAGGAAAAAAAAAAGTCCAAGACATAAAACCATAATAAAGAAAGCACTGATGAATTTAACTACTTTGAAATATAAATTGTAAAATTTCTGTGCCTCAAAAGATAACATACAGAGAGTGCCAAAATTTTAAGGGCACTCATTTTAAGAAAGGAAAAAAATTCTATTAAATAAATTGTAATACTCAGTATACACCATAACAAAGACAAGTCATGTTGAGCACCTCTTGTAACTGCACAAGTCAAACATGATTTGAAGATTACAAATGTATATATGATGGATTGAGAAAAGCAAAGTATTTGTTCAGTATCCCCGCCCAAAATGCAGAGTCTAGATTTGATTGTGAGGGAACATCGAACAAACCCTAATAGAGAGGCATTCTGCAAACTAACTGGCCTGGTCTGTTAAAATGTCATACAAAACAAAGACTGAGGTCCCAGGATAGAGGAGATCAAGAGACATGACAACTAAAGGCAAAATGAGATCCTTAGCTGGTTCCTGGACCAGAAAAGGGCATCAGTGAGACACGTGGTGAAATTTGAATAAGATTTTCTGTGTTTTGATCATGTAAGATGTTAACATTTGTACAATCTAGGTGAAAGGTAAATTCTTTGTCCTGTTTTTGCAACTTTTTTTTTTGAGACAGAATCTCAAGCTGTAGTCCTGGGAAGAGTGCTGTGGTATAATAGCTTCATAGCTCACAGCAACCTCCAACTCTTGGGCTCAAGTGATCCTCTTTCCTCAGTTTTTCTATTTGTAGTAGAGACAAGGTCTCGCTCTTGCTCAGGCTGGTCTCTGAACCCATGAGCTCAAGCAATCCACCTGCCTTGACCTCCCCAAGTGCTGGGTTTACAGGCATGAGCCACCATGCCCGGCCCTTCAACTTTTTTTATGAATCTCAGATTATTTCAGAAAGAAGAATTAATGTGTAAGAGAAAGTTTAAGATAACATACAGAAGTGAAAAGACAAGCTATAAAATACAAGAAGATATTTAGAACAATAATATCAAAAATTAGGATCCAGGATACAAGGAGAGTGCCTACCTATGTGCATAAAGAGCTTGATGAACCTGAATAAAAAATAGGGAGCGGCTCGGCACCTGTGGCTCAAGTGGCTAAGGCGCCAGCCACATACACCTAAGGTGGCAGGTTCGAATCCAGCCCAGACCCGCCAAACAACAATGATGGCTGCAACCAAAAAATAGCCTGGCATTGTGGTGGGCGCCTGTGGTCCCAGCTACTTGGGAAACTGAGGCAGGAGAC